CTGAAATCGAGTCAGTACGAGACACTTACCTGTGAAATGGTAATTCCACACTTTCTAGCTAATTCCTCTTTGGCCTCTTCACTGTGGTAAGGGTTACTTAAATGGGAGTAAAAGTATTCATTCAAAATCTCTGTTGCTTGTTTACTGAAATTCCTCCTTTTTCTCCTGAAAAAAAAAGCTTAAATAAATAAATAAACTTAGTTTTTGTGCAGTGTCTGGAGGGTGTTATTTTCAGATTGGAACTATTTAGTGGTGGTATTCTACAACCAGAATTATCCACTGTTGAAGTTTCGTTTCGTCTTTAGCTTAAATAAACTTAGTTTTTGTGCAGGGTCTGGAGGATGTTATTTTCAGATTGGAACTATTTAGTGATAGTATTCTACAACCAGAATTATCCACTGTTGAAGTTTCGTTTCGTCTTTAGCTTAAATAAACTTAGTTTTTGTGCAGGGTCTGGAGGATGTTATTTTCAGATTGGAACTATTTAGTGGTGGTATTCTACAACAAGAATTCTCCACTGTTGAAGATGATAATGATACACTTTTGGTTTCAATAAAAATACCTTAAAGTCAAAGTTGAGGTCCAGTATTGGCTTACTTTTTAATATACTTTGTACCAAAAATATTGTTATTTCTTTAAACGGGGGGGGGGGGGAGGGAGTTAACTGGGTTCTCCAATTTATTATAAGCAGTATTTTTGAATAATGCATGTTTAGAAGTCTCTTTTAAAATTAACGAAAAAAAAATATCAGAAAAAAAGTATAAATGATACAAATTTCTTTTTTATAACCAAATTCAATTCAAATCACATTATAGAACATTAAGGAAGATTACAGACTTACTTATGAGCTATCTAACTGTATTCCTGTCTAATTTTAGATATATTTCGAGAATCGGCAGGGGATGACGTACGAATGAAAGAATTATTCCAGAACATATATCAACGACGGCCAATCCTTTTGATCCGAAGTCATTAGTGAATTCCTACATTACAAATTTAGCATCATGCCCGAGTGCCTCCATTCGGTAAATGACTATGGTGATTGAAACCAGTCATCAGCCCTGATTTGATTGAGACACAACGTTTTCGAAATATAAACCCGTTGGCAACAAAAGATCGAGAAAGAAAGGAGGGAAATGGGAGAAGCAGGAAAACTTTTAACTAGAACAATCATTGCCGTTCTTTTGAAATTGGACCCTTTAAAACCCAATTCAACAGACACTAAAGAGCTTTAGCTTGAAATTGTTTCTGTTAAAAAAAAAAGCATTTTCTATGCTTTTAGCTGACGCACAAAACTTTGTTCTAACTGAGATGCCTTTAAAAATGACCCCCTGTGGCGCTAAACAGCCACTGCTTTTAGCAATTACACACCATCGAGAGCGCCGTCGGATTACTGTACAGTTCTTTGGTAAAGTCTTAAAGAAAAGCAGATCAAATGAAGAAAACACCATGCTTTTAGTCCTACATAAGCTTTCCATTTTTATTGATTAAGCCCGTTTTCAATGTGAGAAGATGAAAGCTTTCATAGAAACCACAATCTTGCTTATCTTAAGTTACTTACGGACACATGTAAAGCTGTCAGAGTTTGTGGACCAACAATAACGGGCTTTAAAGTTCCGATGTAGAAGGATACAGAACAGAATCCAGCGTATTTTCTCTAGCATGGCTTAATTCGCTCTCTGTAGTAATGCACATAAATTAAGGGGATGTTCTGGTGCACGAGTTTAATGGTAATCTCGCTACCAGTAGATGGATTCTCGTGTCCTGAGTAGAAAATATTTTGCTGATCTTATTGGATGGAAGGTAAATCACTTCCACCAACTTAAAAGATTCTTGTTTTTTCTAATCTTTCGCTAAACTATGTTGATGTACACATAAGATACTGGTGAAATAAAACGAAAATTTAAAGAGAGTAAACGACAAACGATTACGAGAATTCAGAACAGACTAGAAATGATTTGACTACGAAAGCGACGATTCCACTAAAATATACGTGATGGGGATCGAATTGCAGAGACAATATGTAAACCGGGGCGTTTTATGGCATGGTTAACACAAAAAGAAAAGTAACAGACTAAGAAAAATAATTATTATTCTATGTCAGACAACATCGTTATTCTGCGTATCTCACCTAACAACTAATTATCTTTATCCTACACCTCCTTATATCTCTAACGGCTAATTCTAATCAGTAAAATATCATTAAACTGTACGTTTCCTATGTGAAAACCTCATAGGTCTTTTAAAAATTAAAATAAAAAAAGCGTTGTTGCCCCGTGATGGCTTTTTTAACGAAACGGAATAACCAAGCTTTGCAAATGTAGTTTCTGGAAAATATCACGAACATTTTGAGTAAGGTTATATGTATATATGTAAGACTTAAAACAATTTAAATTCCTGCCAATGAATAGCACACGTGCATAAGTAATTTGTGTCAGTTTCGCATATTGTGATGACGTCACATTATGTTTGTTAGCTGAAAGCGCATCGTGGGTGTTTGTGATATTAGTAAATGTATGTAAGTCATGAAGAAAAAAAAAAAAGAGTGATACAACACTAAATTTACAACTATCGATTTATCTGACTGTCCAACTAGTGGTTCAGAAATACTGCTGGTAAAATTGTTTTTACTATTGGAATTAAATACTTATATCTGTATTGTTTGTTTGTTTGTTTTGAATTACGCGCAAAGTTACACGATGGCTATCTGCGCTAGCCGTCCCTAATTTAGCATTGTAAGACTAGAGGGAAGGCAGCTAGTCATCACCACCCACCGCCAACTCTTGGGCTACTCTTTTTTCCAACGAATAGTGGAATTGACCGTCACTTATAACGACCCCACGGCTGAAAGGGCGAGCATGTTTGGTGTGACGAGGATTCGAACCTGCGACCCTCAGATTGCGAGTCGAGCTCCCTAACCACCTGGCCATGCCTGGCTTTTATCTCTGTAATAAGTCTTGATCTACTGGAACTATAAGGAAACAAAATTCAACGTTTAAAACAAGATGGGTGGTCAGATAACGTTTTAGTGATAGATAATTATTTCCTACAAATCTCGCTTCTCATACTTCCCATCAGAGACGTATTAACCTATAGGCTTCCGAAGCTTGGGTCTAGAGCACAACAATTTGAAGGGCGTATCTTAGGGCTAAGTTTGTTTTTTTTAAATTCAAAATAATTTGATAAAAATAAATTCCCATCCATTTCATTGTATTTTAATTTGTTTGATGTTTTTGGGTTAGTGGATAATTTTTCTGGTGAGTCATTCGAGAAGAAAGGGGCGCACATAAAATTGTAGGCCTAAAGTGCCAGTTAAAATAACCTTAATACGTAACTGCCCCCATTAGACTACAATGAAGCAAAACAATAAACAATAAAAGACTGTTGAGCCCCTTTGCGGTTGTTAACTAACTGAGACCGAAAAAACCATGTAAAAAGATGCACAAACTTTATAAATTAACGTACACAAATGAATTAATAAAACAAAAGACGCGTCTTAACAAAATGTGGTTTTATGCTCTTAAAATATCAAATAAGACCCAATATCGAAATACTTGAGCAACTCGGAAAACATCCTTTATTTTTAATAACTGGTCATTTAAATTAAACTGGTAATATAGAGTAGCGCGGTCCTGTTAGAAAGCTATTAAATACTGTTTTAATAGATAAGATTCTTTGGAGCCTTTTCTACAATATAAGGTGCATCAAATTTAACTCATTACATTTTATTTAGTCGGAAAGATAAGAAAAGAAATAGCTTTTAAAATCTTATTCATTTTGGAAACGAGACATTAGAAGTACAGTAAAACATAAGTTGGCTTATTATCTTTGTGTTATACAGTATAAGAGTAAATGTATGTTTAGAAATTATTATTTTAACAAAGTTTCAAAACACGAAGTAATTGCACGGTCTATATCCAAAATATTTGCGTCGACTACGAGAAAACAATATTCAAAAATAACATCTTATTTCTTCCTAAAGTAATCATTCTTTCTTTTGTACATGAAATAAAAAAATCATATGACATAAATGTAAGCTTTTAAGAAGAAACTGGACTCTGGACACGGGCTTTTGAGTAGAATTATATTCCACAACAGTTGGAATAAGTTAATTAGAAAATAGTCTACGTACTAAAAATAATGGTATTCCATTTTTTTATTGTTACTATTGTTCTTCCTTGTATCGCAAAATAAAATTCACGTTAATAACAAAAGAAGTATGCACAAACCTGGCATCTAAAAACCTCGACCTCAAAATCATGACTGCTTCGCACGTGCTTTGTTTCAGTTGCACCTGGATAGAGTTGAACTTCCGGTGAATAATCTGGACCATCCTTTCAATCTCCTTTGATGTGATTGGTCGGTTTCGACTCTGCTCTCTGAGGAGGTTCATGACATGTGCTGTAAATTCGCTACATGCCTGAAACATACAGAATAATAACATATGGACGTGTTACAAAATAGGTAATATCGTTCTAAGCCGGCAACTGTAGTAAAAAACAAAAAACAAAAGGGCAGTCCGTACTTAGAATTTATGTAACACTTGTTCCTAAGCTTTCACAATACTAAATTACTGATTAAAAAAATAACAAGAGGGAATCCTCAATAGCCGCGGCACTTGAAATTCTTTCAAGCAGAATTAAAATAAATTAATCCAGGAGGCCTTTCTCTCCCCCCCTCCCCCTTTGTTAGCTAGCGTGGGGAGCGCGTATACCGGATTCAATTTTATTACTCATCAAGATCTCTACCAGCCCACCCTCAAATTGAAATTCTTTTAG